GGGTCTATGCAGGGACAGAGTATTTGTCTCTCTGCCTATTCAGTTGTAACAATAGATCAAGGCAAGACTTCAATTATCCTTCACTTTCATGCCCAAACTCTCTTCTCTGTTCATTCTATTGAAAATGCCTGGTGACAGAGAGCAAGATGCTGAGAAACGAAATGCTTCAGAGCCTTAGGAAAGCTGTGTAGCAGGAAGGACATATTTCAATGAAGTTATTTTCCACCAAGGCTAATATTGTGCTTTAATACTTCAGGCTCTAGTGAGCTCATCAACAATGTTTGCCTTTAATTTTATCACTTGTACCCAGTCATATGTTACTTGCTATGTTTCTGTCGAGCTCCATTTCATCAAAGGGATCTTAGGGCTTTCACTGTCTTTGAAAAGGTATTTTAAGATGGACATGTGTGCATATCCATCATGTTTAATTATCTCCTTTTTCACGTTCCCTCAATCATCTGTTAAAGGATAAATTGTTCATATACTCATTTAAAAATTGATTTTTTTGTGATCGAATGAAGGAAGGGGATTGTATATTTGATGGGGTGTGGGAACCTTCTGCCTGAGATCCCCCTGGGAGGACCCTTGGCCTTTCTCTGAAAGAGCACATGTTCAAGGCCCAGAAAGCCTTTGAGGGCTGTAATGGGCAGGAGAGGAGAACCTCTGTTACCTCAGAAAGGAATTCTCCATACAGCTTTGTGAAAGCTCTTAACCCTGGAATGTGCATGAGAGTCACCTGGGGGAGAGACTCCGGCACTTCACCCACACCTGACCAATTAAACAAAAATCTCTTGGTTTGGGCTTGGGACTAGCGTTGATATCTATGTATATATGTATCTATCTATTGATAGATTGATACAAAAGCCAAGTTCATTTATTTTTTGCATTTACAGTTTAGTATATGTGCTGCTGAAGAGAGCATTGTATTGATACAGTTTTAAAAGCTCCCTAGGTGAGTCTGATATGAAGCCAGAGGGGAAGACAACTGACCTGGACCAGTGGTTCTCAACCAGAAGCAGTTTTGCCCCCAGCAGACATTTGGCAATGTCTCGGACTTTTTGGTGGGCATTTTGATTGTTGGGGGCTGCTACTGGCAACTAGTGGGTTGAGGCCGGAATGCTGCTAAACATCCTACAATGCACAGGACAGCCTCTACCATAAAGAATAATGCAGTGCAAAATATCAACAGTGCCAAGGTTGAAAACCCCTTCCCTAGAGTGTTAGAAAAGCAAACACACACACACAGTTATCTGAGTGTAGATATTTTTGCAATTACATTAATTCAAATTTGTGTAATGCATTATGATTCCCAAAGCAGTTTTATGTGCTTCACTGGATTTGATCTTCACCATGACCCTGTAAGGGAAATAATATCAGCATCTTGATTTTACAGATCAGGAAACAGGCTGAAGTCAGTGAATGACTTCCCCAAAACCACAGGATCTTTAGTTCCTCAGTTAACTCTCTTTTTCACTGGCAGAAATGTCAAAGATGTTTATCTTCCTAGCTCTGTGCCCTACTCAAGATAAAGATGGTAATTAATGAGTCTTCATTGCCATTGAACCCAAGTGCAGCCTCAGAATCCTTCTCAACACAGCATACCAGGAAGCCCCAATTGTTTGGGGTTGGCATGTGAAATGAAGATTGCCATATTGCCTCTCCCACCTAAACACCAAACTTCTCCCTGAATTAAGATGATCTTGTTGAAAGAGATATGAAGGAGGGTACTTAGGGTAGGAGGATTCTTGAGCATCTGCAAGTGTTCAGACAATCTGTATAGGAAACTGCTGTGTTAGCAGCATGTGTTCCTGGCTGAGACTATGAGGAAGCGACTGCCTCCCTAACCCTTATATTTCTTTATAACTCTATTAGTGCATTTGGTTCTCACCATATGCTGCTAATTGATATACAAAGGAAGTGTACACAGTTGTATTCTTCATTTGGTACAAAATAAATATTTCACCTTCTTCTTGAGCTCACTAGGATCTTCCTCTCAAGGCCGCAACATGAGATACCATAATTACAAGAACATGTTCAACTATGATTCATGAAGCAGGCAGGACAGGAATTGGTGTGCACTCAGTTTGCAGAGTGAAGAAGCTAGAGCTGGCAGCCCCTGCTTAAGCCCCAGGCACAATAAATTGTGACATGCACAATTAAATGCCTAATGCCTGGAAGAGATATGCAGTGGGAGGGATGCAAGCAGAGCAAGAACAGCAAGCACAATTAGAGACTAACTCCATCTCTCAGCGAGGCAGGTGATGGAGAAGATGCAGAGAGCTCAGTGGACCATTTGGCCCCAATCAATGGGAAGAAGAAGCACAAAACCGAGTAGCTGTTCATTGAGGCATGTGCCACCAGTTTCAAAAAGTTGTATGAGTTCCTGCAGAATGAACAGGGTTCCGGGTCTCTGTCCTGGCTGTATCACCCACAGGTATCCATGGCATCAGTCTCCAGCATCAGGCCTCATCTTATAATTCAGGTGAAGAGATGGGTTTGACCTGACTGGTCTCATTATTTTTGTCTTTGGCACTCACCATAAGGATGCTGGATACATGGGTCCAAAGACATTTTAAAGTGAGGCTGCACAGATATTCTGCTGCTATATGCTTCTGTCATAGTGGAGAGGAGGAGAAGTCAGGGCATCCTCTCCCGTTGGGTGTGCTGCAGCCACACTGCAGAGGCAGTATTCGAGTGGGTCTCAGTAATGTGACAACTCACAGCTTCCTCACTTTTCACCAGGAACAGCAGGCTTTCCATGAATGGCACCTGCTATTGCCCTGGAATTCTGGTGCTCACCCTGGCTGCCACTTGGAACTGTCTGGCAAGCTGAACTCTGTGGAAGTTTCTATCTCCTTTTGCTAGGCCAGCATCTCCCAAGGGCAGGGACTTTTGTCTGTTTACAGCTTCGTCTGCAGATTTTCTATTAGTGCCTGACACTCCATGAATGAAATATCACCTACATGTCAGACTTTGCCATGCCCTTTGAAGATATTCCCAACCGTCACAGTTACATAGATCCTCTACAGTGTCATTGGTCTTGTTTTCACGGATGAGGAAACTGTGGGTGAGAGTTAATTAACCTGCAGAATATTACACGGCTGGTAAGTAGCAGAGCTGAGACTTATACCAAGTCAAGCTCACAGGAAAGACCAATCTCTTTTGACTAGTGCTGCTGCTCTTAAGAGGAGTGATAAGGGAATATGATTCTGTTATGTAGACCAGTCATTTCAGCAAACTAAGTGATTCAGAAAATGAAAAAAATCATCTTGATTTGGTATTCTTGAGAATGGCATTTCTGTAACTGTTCTTGCAATAGGCAACCTCTGGCTTGTGAAATGGTATTCCACCAAACACCTTAAAAAATGGATTTTAATCAATAAAGAAATTTGGGGATTACTATCTTTTAATACTCTCTCTTAGTGGAATCATAATTTTATATTAGCATAATGAAGGCTGTAAGTAATCCTGCATTGAAAAACTCCGTTTAATGCAGAATTTGCAAAATCTGTGTGTATTCAGAACCTCTTCTTTCCCCCAAGAGACAAATGACTAGTAGTTCCCAAGACACATGTGCCCCTTTTATGACAAGATCATCATCTGGAGATGGCCTGCCATGCATTAGTATGTCAGCCTAGTAAAACTAGTTCAGCAAAACGCAAACACATGTTAGCAAGCAGATGCTCCAATGACAAATCTGACCTTGATTGATAAGTTGGAATTGATTCAACACTCTTAAAGACAGGGCTAAAAAAAAACCCTTGGAGATTGAACTAATATAGAATTTTCACTGAAGACATAAATAGTGTTGAGAATCCTAATTCATTTCAAGTTAAGTAAAACCCACAATGATTTATTGAGCCCTATTAGATGCCAGGCTCTACTGGGCATTGGAAGGCAAGATTAAATGGGATAGGCATGGTATCGATCGTTACAGGGTTAGTGGGTTTGGGTCTTTTCCCTTAGTGGCTTCAGAGGGGTAATGAGGAAAAACTACTTTCCTGTGTCTATTCACATTCAGTTTACATCTCTGCCTTCTCTTCAGCAGCCCTGAATTCATTTATCCATTCATTTATTCATCCAAAATAATCTTCACTGAGTGCCTACTATGTGCTAGGCACTATGGATACAGCAGGTAATAGCACAGATAAAAATTTTCTCCCAGAAAAGTTTTTTCCTACTGGAGTTTATATTCTGATTATTCTAGAGTTACTCAAAGGGTTGCTATCTACCTGAAATCACACTTGGCACCTTCTTAAACAGAAACCTGGAACTCTTCCATTTGTTCAGGTCCTAGGTCTCATCCACTGACTCAGACCTTCCCTGTGTGACATCCCGTATGGGCCCCACTGATCTCCACGCCATTACTTGTTCTCCACTTTCTGGCCCATTAGGTTTATGTGTACCTTCCCACTCATTTCCTGCTGATTCATTTACCCAGGTCTAAAGCCTGTACGGAGATGCCCCAGGCACTGAGCTCCAGGCATTGTGCAACACTACAGACATGAGCAGGACAGGGTCTTGGTTCTTATGTGAGTCAGAGTTCTTCAGAGAAACAGAAACAATAGGATATTTATGGATATACACAATGAGATTTACCGTGAGGAATTGGCTCACACAGTTATGGAGGCTGAGAAGTCCCATTATGTGCCATCTGCAAATCAGAGGCCCAGGAAAGATGGTGGTGTAGTTCCAGTCCAAACTCAACAGCCTGAGAACCAGGAGAGCTGATGTCCAAAGGCAGGAGAAGATGGATGTCCTGGCCCAAGAAGAGAGAGTTAACTCGCCCTTCCTCTGACTTTTTGTTCTATTTAGGTCCTCAGTAGATTACATGATGCCCTCTTGCATTGGTGAGGGCAAATTTTCTCCACTCAGTCTACAGATTCAAATGCTAATCTCTTCTGGAAACACTGCTATAGACGTATCCAGAAATAATGTTTTACCAGCATCTCTTAGTCCAGTCAAGTTGACACACAAATTTAACCATCACAGTTCTTGAGGAGCACAGAGTGTGGAGAGGGTGAGAGAGAATGGATGATACAATGAACTTGGTGATGGAGGTGATCACAGAGAGCAAGCACAGAAGCAGCCTGGGCTTCCCAGAGGAACCTGAAGGCTAGGTAGCATGTGGTGTGAACAGATGGGTGGTTGGCTTGAGAGGGAAGAGGAAGACCTGCAAGTTGAAGGAGCAGAAAAGAGAAATGCTGAAAGAGAAGACAAGAATGGAAAAGAAGGCAGGAGTGAGATAGTACTTCATTGTTCCTTTTTCAGTCTTTCCATGATATGTGTTGTCTGCTACTTTTTGCTCTGCACTTACCTCAACTCCAGAAAGAAGCTGGTGACTAATACATACCAAGCTCCTTCCAGTCAAATGAAGGAGACTGACAATAAGCAAGGAACAAACCTAACTGTGATGAAACATGAACATTATTCAGTGGGAGAGCAAAGCTGAAACTGGGGTCCAACTGTAGGGCAAAGGTAACCTTAGAACTGAGATCCAAAGATTGAGAAAAAGTCAGTCTGGAGAGAAGGGGGAGGAGTGATTCCGGCAGAGGGAACAGCAGGTGCAAGGTTTGAGCAGGGAGGGACCCAGGAGGCTGTTTAAGGAACTGGAAGAGGTGTGTCTGTGCTGAGAGTATGGTGGGTGGGCAAGGAGGAGAGGGCAGCAGGGCAAGGTCTTGCTGTGCATTTTAGTCCCCATGAGGAGTTTAGACATGATCATAAGAGAGGGGGAGTGATGCTGGAGGGGTCCAATCCTATTTGCATTTTCAAAGTGATAATGATGATAATAATAATAATGTAGATGATATTAAAGGAATTACTGATAAAATTGTTTTGGGTGTGATAATGGCAAGGTGGTTAAACAAAAAGTCCTTATCAAAGGTTTGAAAGAACTATTTGCAATTTAAATGACAGACATTTGCTTTAATAGAGTCCAGAAAAGTAGGGAAAGAGAAAAAACAGGTTGGCACAATAATAATTGTTAAAGCTGGGCAAGGGTCCATGAGTTCATACAACTATTCTGCTTAGGTCTGGGGCATTTGAAAATTGTTTTAAGACCTATGAAAAAATAATTTCATGTAGTAAGTGCTCAATAAATGGGAAATTGGTAGCAATTACAGTTTCTTTTTATTGAGTGTCTACTGTGCATGGCAGTTTTAAGTCAGATACTTTACTATATATGTTAGCTCAGGGGTCTCCATAATTTTTAAATTGTATGCTTCACCAATAAAATTATTTTAAGCATTATTACCAAATGATTACTTTTGATTATTTACTTACATATTGTCAAATGTTGCTTTGAGTACCTTATAAAACATACACAAAACAAGAAATTATAAAAGGATGAACTTAACTTGGAATAAATAATATTTAATGTCTTTCTAATTGTGGTGGCTTTGTATTCTCTTTAGCTACTGTCTCCAGGCACAAGTTACACACAGAGGGAAATCTATCATTCATGATAGTGGTTGTAATCCACATTTGAAACCATTTTATGATAATTTCCTTGGATGGGTTGGGGCAGCGTTTTGTCAGCTCAGATTATATTATTATTTTCTTTACCTTGTGGGGTGACCCAGGAAAAACCCTAAAAGAAGTGGAAGAAAAGTGAGCTCCGCCATTTTCTGGTTGTGCACTTATACTTATGTTTTCAGAATTTTAAAAAATAGATTCCTAGCAGGATTGTTTTTTATTTCACATGTTTATTTTGTAAGTGTGTCAGCTTAAGAACTGGTTATTATAATACTTAAACCATTTACTCGGGCACACATACACTGTGACACAGGTGATTTGCCGATCAGTAGTGAATGAAATGGGCAGGGGGACGTGTTACCAGTTACTCTGCACTGCAGAAGAAAGAAATGAGCTGACATGTCAATCTGAAATGGTGTCAAGCATCTATATATACTTAAATATGAGTGAAGCTTATTTCCTTTTATTATTTTGAGGTGAATTAAACAGGTGAGAAATTAAAATTCTGATACTTTCTTCCTGCACTCCACCTTGGAGTGCACACACTCCCCTTTGGAGACCTCTGCATGTGTTATTGAGTCCTCACCACGATCCTGTGAGGCAGGCATTGTTATCCTCCTTTTTGCATATGAGAAACTTGAGCCCAGGCAGGTTAAATGATTTGTTTGAAGGACATATCTGTTTGTAGGCAGAACAGGATAGAAACTCAGGCATGCGAGACTCAACATTTCTTACTCTTGAATAGTGTTAGCTGCTAGTCCTTAGCATTGGCCATGGATCAGGCAGTGAGGTGGACACCATTACCCTGGTATTATAGAGGACAAAGGGTCAACAAAGCAAAGTAACATTCCTATGCTTAGGCTGGCATGTCAGACTCTAAAGTCCATCTGTTTCCATGTGAATCCTAGTTCACCACCCTACACCTTGGGCTAAAGTCTTTCTCCAAGTCTCAATTTCCTCATCCTTAAAATCTGCCAGTAGGAACAACCACTTCATGGAGCTTTTGAAATACCTGAGTTTGTCCATACTACCCAAAGCAATTTACACATTCAATGCAATACCTATTAAAGTATCAATGGCATATTTCACAGACACAGAATAAACACTTCAAAAATCTATATGGAACCATAAACGACCCCAAATAGCTGCTGCAATTTTGAGAAAGAAGAGTAAAGTAGGAGGGATCACAATACCTGATACTAAACTATATTACAAGGCCACTGTAATCAAAACAGCCTGGTACTGGCATAAAAACAAGCACATGGACCAATGGAACAGAACAGAGAGCCCAGAAATAAATCCAAGCCTCTATGGTCAATTAATAATTGACAAAGGGGACAACAAGATAAAATGGAGGAAAAATAGCCTCTTCAACAAATGGTGTTGGGAGAACTGGACAGCTACATGCAAAAAAAAAAAAATGAAACTCAAGCACCAACTTACACCTTACACAAAAATAAATTCAATATGGATAAAAGACTTAAATATAAACCGTGACATAATTAAAGTCCTAGAGGAGAACATAGGTAGAAAAATCTCAGATATTTCACACAAAAACATTTTTACTGACATGTCCCCTAGAGCAAGGGACATAAAGGAAAGAATAAACAAATGGGACCTCATTAAAATAAAAAGCTTCTGCATGGCTAAAGAAAATAGTATTAAAATAAAAAGAGAACCAACTGTATGGGAAAACATATTTGCCAATGACACCTCAGACAAGGGGTTAATCTCCAAAATATACAAAGGACTTACACGAGACTACACTCTAAGAAGACAAGCAACCCAATTAAGAAATGGGCAAAGGACTTGAACAGATACTTCTCTAAGGAGGACATACAGAGGATCCAAAGACACATGAAAAGATGTTCAATATCACTAGCTATCAGAGAGATGCAAATTAAAACCACAGTGAGATACCACTTCCCACCAGTCAGAATGGCCATCATAAACAAAGCAACAAACAAGTGTTGGAGGGGTTGTGGAGAAAAGGGGACCCTAGTGCACTGTTGGTGGGACTGCAGACTGGTACAACCACTATGGAAAGCAGTATGGAACTTCCTCAGAAAACTAAAAATGGATCTGCCTTTTGACCCAGCAATTTCACTGCTAGGATTATATCCTAAGAACACTGAAACACCAGTCCAAAAGAACCTTCACACTGCAATGTTTATAGCAGCACAATTTACAGTAGCCAAGTGCTGGAAGCAACCAAGATGCCCATCAGTAAATGAATGGATCAAAAAACTATGGTACATTTACACAATGGAATTCTATGCAGCAGAAAGAAAGAAGGAGCTCCTACCCTTTGCAACAGCGTGGATGGCACTGTAAAGCATTATGCTAAGCAAAATGAGCCAGGCAGTGAAAGACAAATACCATATGATCTCACCTTTAACAGGAACCTAAACAACAAAACAATGAAACAAGCAAAATATAACCAAAGACACTGAAATGGAGGACAGGCTGACGGTGACCAGAGGGGAGAGAAGAGGAAATTTCAGGGGAGAATGGGAAGGGTTTACAGGAATAAATATTGAGGACACATGGACAAAAACTAGGGTGGGTGGAAATGGGAGGGAGGTGGGGAGGGATGGGTGGGTGGGCTGGAATGGGAATAAAAGGAAGAAAACTGTACTTGAACAATGATTAAAATTTTAAAAAGTAAAAATAAAACGGATAATATTAAAAAAAAGAAATACCTGGGTTAGACAGTAGATGAAAGGTGAATATTACCTATAATTATTATTGTTCTATGTACTGGAGGTGATAGAATAGAATAGACAGTGAAAAAGTCAGGATTACTCTCAAATATCAATATATAGGGTCCAGCAGAAATAAGGCCTGCTTGAGTGTGGTTGGTAGGGTAAATAATATGGGTGCAATAATTTATAGTTTTAATTTGAACATTTCACCTAAAATATCATATTGTGTTCTTGAGTGTGATATTGTTATGTTATACAATTACATGCTTATGATTTTTATAATAAAAGATTTTGTAATAAAAAAGGGATATTATTTGTGCCAGACCCTGTGTATTGGTAGGAATGAATGAATTGCCCCAGTGGTTCCTACAGATCCTCAAGCACATGGCTGGACTCTGGTCTTATGTTTTGCCCACAGTGATGCTGCCCAAGGCCTTCTGCTGTCCTGGGCAGGGGCATGGCAATTTCCCTTGCCTTGTCTGAATCTCGTCCAACTGTATCTGCAGAGGCTGCAGTCCAACCTTTCTCCTCCTGTCACCCAGAATAAAAATTGGGCTCATTCATTTTTACTACTGAGTCAGAAAACCTGGAGAGAAAAAGGCCAGCATGGACACTGCTTTCAAATTTATGTGACAGGGACACAAATAAGTCTTCCATTCTGAGAGCAGAGACAGACCTGGAATTTCTGCAAAGGTTTTCTAACTCAAAACATATTTTAATGCCATATTTGAGTTCTGCAGCAGAGTGGCTACCTCTAGACACTGGAACATAGCTGTAAAACAATTGACCTGCTCTTAAGCATGCTGCAGATTAAAAAGGGAGAAAATTTTCAGGTGGCTCATGTGAAAGAAGAATCATCTATTCATAGTACCCAGAGGAATAGCAATGCCCAAAGTGGAATATGAGAAAGTTATGATTTACTGAACATTCACAAGATGCCTTACGCTGTGCCAAATATCTCTATTATCTTACTGAAACCTTTAAATAATCTGAA